CTCAGCAAAGAGGAGAAAATAAAACCCACTACTAAACTGGAGATGGGAGTGTTGTGTTTCATCCTCTTTGACAGCCAAAAGCCTATTTAGGACTCTACAAACCAAACTTGCCAGAAAAAGAAAATATGGGCATCTTTGTAATTCTCCTGAGCTCACTTAAGGACTGAAATCAGTGTTTGCTGAGGAAGGAAAACTTGATGTGGACGATGCTTTATGGGCCATTTCGGCTGGAGATTTAAGAAGTAGAAGAGTCCATCCAGTTTGCACTTTTCATGGCAAGACTCCTAAAAGCTCACTGTGCACTCACACAAACACAGCAATATCCTAACCTCTGTGCCTAACCCGCTTAATCATCCCGACAAGCTTCTGAGAGATTAAGCAGTTGCTTCAACATAACAACGCACTGCCAAACCTAGAGCTGGATTTCAAACCAGACAGCCTGGCTTTAGAGCCTGCATTATTTGCTCATTCAGATCATGAACCTGCATAGTACCCCTCCTTCACCCTTTTCCTCATCTCTCTGATCATTGTGTAATGGGGCCATACATTTCAGCTGAAAATGAATGATCCATCAGCCAAGGCCACCAAGACACACCATGCCGGAAGTTGGTTCGGTTACCCCATAACTCAGGCAGCACTCAATGGCACTCTTACCCAGCAGTCATATTGTAGGATTTTTCTTAACCTGTTATTATCTCCTCACCCTGGTCAGTACATTATCCAAAATGACTCTTTTTTTTTTCGCCCCTGAAGGCTGTCGTTTGAGGTGATGAAACCTCAATCAGGCAGTCACCACCATAAATAATGCACCAGCCTCTCATCAAGAATCAGTAAGGCACAGGACAGCTCACAGGGCCCATTATCCCATACAGTTCATAAGTGGGCATGTGATTAATGCATTTATCTGCTATTCAGAGGAACACCCCATAGAAAGAGTCAGTAATGACTGAATAGTGAATAGGTACAAGAAAAACCAAAATGCATTCATGCACTGAGTTGCTGCAACACTTTCATTCCCAGAACCTTTATCCATTGTGATTTTTACAGGTCCACAATAACTTAAGTACCACAGAGGTGCAGGAGATAGAAATGCCAATTTTGAGAAAGCCAGGAAAGCTTGTTCATGATCACATGAATCAATTCAGTCCGCATCTGTTATTAACTGTGTGTCAGACATCGCTAACACGTATACAGGAAAAGTTCATCATCTGTACAGGAAAAGTTCATTATCTAAACAGGAAGAATAAACACAAAAGGCATTGCAAGTGGAAAAGTTAGAGGCAGGAAGGCTGCCCAGAGGAAGTGACACTGGAGTTAGGTCTTGCTATTAAAGAAAGTTTTTTTTTTTTTTTTTTTTTTTTTTTTTTTTTCCAGTTAGAAGAGGAGGAAAACAACAGTGCAGGTTGGAGAAGGACCATACAACATACTCAGGTCTGCAGTCAGTGATCTTTTCAGAGTCTCGTGTGTTAGCTATTGAAGACCTTGTCTGTTGCTCGAAGACAATTAGTTGGGTTTTCTCCCAGAGCGTGTAGGGAACAGAGCAACATCCAAAGTTTTTAAAAAGTGTCTGGTCACAAGCAGATCTATGCTTCCAAAAGCCAACCAAGGAAGGATGGCAAGGCTGGACTGCACAGGGCCAGCAGTTCAAGGGCCAGTGCTTTAGTACAGGCAGAAGTGGCTGCAAAGGGTCAGGACTGGAGGGTCTGCAGGCATTTCAGAAGGCCATAGGAGCAGGCTTCTGATCAGATCTAGTGAGAGGAAAGCAGAAAGCACAGGCTGCCAGAGGTGAGGACATTCTTAGCAGACGATAAGTAGTATCTGGAGGGATCCGGAGGGCAAAACTAACACCGCTGCATGTTTGCCCCATGCAAGGCTGTGTTGGTGTCTCCTAAGCTCCCATAGGGACCTCATACGGTGCTGCCATAAGCAGAATCAGCTCAGGATAACAAGGTATAAAACCGAGGACAAAATAGCCAAAGATGTTCTGTGGGCCGCACAGGACCATCCCTCCCTCCAACTCTGCCCCTGGGGGTCCCACGCCAACTCCACGTTTCACTGCACGCACGGACTACAGTCGCCACATGTAACTTCATTCTTCACTCTTCCGCCTGTCCAAAGCCAGGGACATCTTTCCCCGTGCTTCTCTTGGGAATGAACTCTGTCATCTTTGCCTCCCCATCACTGCATCCCTCCTTTCCAAAGTCTTCCTCTCCTCAGACTCTTCCTCCACTCTCATTCATACCAGTATCTTACTGAAATGGCAAGAGCAGGGCCAAGAGCAACCAATCAGAAGTGGGAGCAACCTGTGCACCAAGGCTGGCTTAGCCACAGGGGGACTTGACATCAGCCTCGGGGGACAAGAATTGTATATTAACCTTTGCTTAGCTTGAAGGACTATTGCTGAGAATGAAATGAAAGAAAGAGCTTGCAAACAACACCAGCAAACAGTAGAAAGGGGTGCTGTGGATTACCCAGTACAACTGTCCACTGGACAATGAGTTCTTGAGAACAGGGATCAGAAAGGTAGGATCCTACTCATTCCTGGTACAGAGTGAATGCTTGACGGCAGAGGTTGAATCGCCTTTTAGCACCACAGACACTGGAACACTCCACAATAGCCCACTTTGGGAAGCCCTGCTTACCCCTTGGATTGTTCCAAAGACAGCCAGTTTCTGGTGCAAGTAAGAGTCATGCTGTCTGGATGTCTGTATTGGGCACGTTTGACCAAGACTGGGTTCCACCTGGGTTCCTCCCAGGAAGTTGCTGAAAGCTGAACCTCTGCCTGCCCCTCATTCTCCCCTACCCACTTGTTTCCAAGCAGCCCAGCTGGAATGCTGCTACCCGTGCAGCTTTGTGCCCTGTGCACCTTGTGGTGTCTCCCCCTCCCCCCATCAGAGCTCGGGCCGCCTCTACTGCTGTTTCATTGATGCCTTGAGCAGAGCTGGCATGTGCGACTGCTGAGAAGGGGGAGCACGGAGCGGCGGGGGAAGCAAGTAAAAATAGTCTGGCGCGCACAGCACTGCCTGCTTCGGACTCCTTTCACCCTCGCTGAGGTGGGAGCTCAGCCGCCACCAGTACACACAGTGTGAGCAGGCGGGGGTCTGCACCACACCGTTCTCCAAGGCCGCCTTGCAGAGTCTGGGACCCACAAAAACTTTTTTTTTTTTTTTTTTTTTTAAAGCAACAGAGCTAGGAGTGAGGTGGGATGAGGAGGCAGTAGGGAGCGAGCGCCTTCCGGTTTCCAGCGCGCCAGCCACCTGGCTGCAGGGACGGTGACGCCTGGCTGGCCCAACACTTCAGAGAAGCTAGGCCTTGAGTCTCTGCTATTTTTAGAAACCTCTTCTGTTGGTGGGCGAGCAGAGGGCGGAGGGGGAGGGGAAAGGCTGGCTGTGTCTGCGAGACTGGGAGCCTCGCGGTGCACACCGTTCCCAGCGTCTTGCTCTACGTGGGGGTGGGGACAGGGATGCGGCCGGAGACTCACAAACGCCGGCTTTGCCCTAACTCGAGGAGCCCGGAGGAGCTCCCGCGTGCCCAGAGCTCTCAGCCTCAGGGCGTGCTGCCAAATGCGTGCTGCTTTTAGTCCCCGAGGGAACGGGGATTGTTAAAGCTCTGCTGCCTACGCTGTGGGGTTGAGGTTAGCTGCAGAGCTGTGAACTCGGGAAGGGAAGATCGGGAAGGGTCTCCGGCAGAGACCTTTTCGCATTCCGGCAAGACGTAGGGACAATCCCCGCGCCACACCCCCACTCTGCCCCACGCTGCATATGGTTAACCGTATGTAAAAGTACGGCAGCCCCACAGACGCCTGGCTATTAATAGCGACCAGGAGTTTGCTCCCTGTGTCTTTTTCCTGCCGCCGAGTAAGGGACGATCACACATACCCCACTCCGCCCCCACTCGGCGCAGCATTCCTCTGGGAAGGTAAGGGGCTGTCCACGCCGATGACCTCCGTGACCACAGGTTCCCAGAGCCCACGGAACAGCTCGGTGGCCGCAAGGACAGAGGGGAGCGAGACAGGAGAAGGGACACAGCCTAGAGTCTCGGGACGGAACGCCCAGAGGGACTCTGCGGTTCGGGCCGACCGAGAGGAGCGGAAGGGCAGATCCCAGCGGCCGTGCCGGACGCCGCGTGCGTCTGCGGAGCAGGACGAGCTCCCGCTGCCCCGGCTGGACGCGTTCCGCTGCCCCCTCCCCCCCCCCATGAGGCTTGCTGCGGCAGCGCGGCCACTGTCCCCGGTGCTGAAGCTTCCCAGGCCCCGCGGCCCCACGCCCCCCTTGCCCAAGGACTGCGCACCTTATCCTGCCCGGATCTGGCCTGGGGGGGTGGGGAGATGGTCCCTAGGGAAGAATGCCTAAGTGCTACCACCCGCTCGGTGTCGCTGGAAGCTGAGGGCAGATCGCCTCGAGCTCCAAGGATGGAACTGAGCAGCGGCTAGAGAGGGTCGTGAGACTGTATGAGGGGGGCAGACCCGGCCCGGCACCGACCAGACCCGGATCCCGACCAAGGTCCGGGACGCAGCGTAGGACACAGAGGAAAGGGCAGGGGCAGCGGGTGGCAGGAGAGAGCAACGGGGCAAGAGCGATTCTTGCATTTTCAAGAGGGAGGGGACCTGAGACCTGCACCGTCCCCCCCTAACACGTACACACGCGCGCACACACACACGCGCGCGCACACACACACGCGCGCACACGCACACACACACCCGGCCAGCGGCAGCCAGCGGGATGGAGCCGGAAAGTTTGGCACTCGGCGCAGGGCGGCGGCGGCGCGAGCCGGGGGAGGCGATCGGCGGCCGGGGGCCGGGGCCGGGGCAGGGCGGGGGCCGTGCGCCCCGGCGCCCGCTTACCTCGGCGCTCTCGGCGGCGTTCTCCGCCATCTTCCTCCGGAGGAGCAGGCAGCGGGAGGAGTGTTTCATGCCCATAAGCGCCAGCCAGGGTTCGGCGATACAGAGCTAGTAGAGAAAGCGAGGGAGCTGGTGTCGCTTTAAAAGAGAGAGCCAGGGAATGGGCGAGGGGGGAAAAAAGAACGAGGGGAGGAAAGAAAGGAAAGGAAACCCAGCCCCTCCGCCGAGCGCCGGCCGCACGACCAGCCTCGAAGGAGTCCTTCCTGCAGTCTGCACTTTGTTTTCTTTTCCTCCTTCTCCCGGCTCCGCGTTCCTTCGCACACTTGCAAGTTCTCGGAGCCCGACCCCTCCCGCCCCTCTCCACCCGCGCTGCGGGCGCGCAGGAGGAGGCGGCCCCGAGGGCTCCCGCGGCGGCGGCGGCGGCGGCTCGCGAAGTCCGGCCGGTCAGGCGGCGCCAACTCCGCTCAACTTCTGCCGGTCGGCGGGGGAACCGCGCGCGCCCCGCGCTTCCCTCCCGGGGGCTGAGCCGGGTGAGTGGGGGCGGGGAGGGAGCCCCGCGGGGGGGCGCCGCTGGGTGCACACCGCGGCCCGGGCGCCCCGGCGCCCCCGGCCCGGCTCAAGGCTCGCAGGCGGCCTCTGCTCCCTGGCGCGCAGCACAACTTGCGCGGGGGCCACGGCGGGCGGTGCGGACGCTGCAGGGCCGCGCGGGGCTCGCGCCAGGAGAGCAAGCGCTGAGCAGGGCTCGCGTGGGCTCACAACCCCGTCCGCGCGCGTCCTCCCGCCCACTGAGGGCGAGCTCCAGGCAGGACAGGGCCAGGTGCCTCACCCGCACCCCACTGGACCTCCACCTCTCCAGCTCCTCCACCGATTCCTGGATCTTTTCCCGGTGAATGATGGTTTGGGGGGCGAAGGGGTGGGTGTCTGGGTGGGGGAGGGTCCTTAACTCCTTCAACTCTGGGGTGAACCGTGGAGTCGTTACCTAGCCCTTTCTCCACTGTCCCTGTCCCAAGCATTGGAGTTCCGAGGCTCCCTGCTGGCGGACAGGGTGGGGTGAAGGTGACAGCCAGCTGTAGCTTGGCAAAGAAGGTGGAGAAAAGTCCAACGGAAGCGCCTGCTGTCTTCTCCCCCACCGACCCCGTCCTCCCTAGCGGCCCCCTGCCCACACGGATCTCTGCCCCCTCCCCGCCCCTCCTCCACCACCAGATTTTGAAGTCCCTTTTATGGGAGAGAGGGAGGATGTCACGTACCCATTAGGATTCTCTTGATCCTTTTTTAAGGGAGTTTGGGCGGCAGCAGGGGGTGTGAATTTTTATACAATGCATCCCTGTCTTCACTTTGAGAGCTTCTTTTTCTCTTACTGGCCATCTGTCAGGCGATGGAAGCTAGAACAGTGGGGGAGGGGACAGCTACTCTTCCTCTGGCTGCCTCAGGACACACAGGCTGACTCCTTAGGACAGACCACCGTCAAGGTCAGGGACCTCAAAAGAGGTGTCTTGAGTCCCCTGTCTCTCTTCACGCCGCTGTCCTCACGCTGAGAGAGCTGCTCTCAATGCCCTATTTACTTCTGTCCTTACCTTCAACAGTCAAGAAGTGTAAGCCTGGGCATCCTCAGCTAACCTCAAAATCCTTTGAAGAAAAGGGCAGGACCGGGCTCCTCGCTAAAGAGGCCTCCTCACCTGTCCTCAGTCAGAGATGAGACCTGGTGATGAGTAGAGGCAAGAGGTGGGGAAAGGAGAAGACAGGATAAGGAAAATGAAGGAAATGTAGCCAAAGACTTGAGTGGAGTGTGTGTGTGCCTGTGTGTCTTTGTCTTGGGAAAAGTGAATTCAAATGAGAGGATGACCTTAATCTCCTCTTCTTTTCTCTGACTACTGATGTAGATTAGAGTTGGGGGTGAGTGACCAAAGACCCCAGCAGAACCTGGATGTTCTCCTCCCCTCCCATGTCATGCAGAATGTGGAAGGAAAGAAAGGAATGAATCTGACTTGAACCTCTTTTCTCTGAGCATCTGCTTGGAGATGAGAGACACCTGGTCCCCTACCAAAAGATTCTCCATACTTGTACCATCAAAGAATATCAGAACAGAAAGGATCCCCACAGCTCACTGGCCCAATCTTCTTGGTTTACAGAGAAAGATCCTGAGATCAGAGAGGAGGACATCTGTCTGTGGTCCTTCAGCAAGCAGGCAGAGCATCTGAGACCAGCTTCCCAGCCTCCCAGTCCTCAGCCCAACACTCTTCCCCACCCCACACTCCTTCTGCTTGTGCCTTCCATTCTGTGACTAACCAGGGAGGAGGGAGGAGGGAGCTGAAACAGGCTCCCACCGAAATAGGCTGCTGCCTGTGCGTGATTATGTTGCTATGAGAACCCCAGTGGGTGTGTTTCCTCCCTTCTCTGTTGAAATCTTTTGCTTTGCTTGGCTTCTCCCCAAGCACAGATACGGCTCCCTTTGGAATGGGGAGTGGAGAGACAGAGATGGAAAGCTGTATTTTGATAGCAAGAGTTTTCTTTCTATTCCAACCCATCTAACCCAGAACCAGCCTGGGTCTGAAAGAGCCCTGGCCACTGGTGCCACAGTGGCTAGAGGAGAACACCAGGGAACCATATTAAAAGTGGACAATTCAGCCCCTCTTGTTGAGCCTTCTTGGGGTGGGGAGGTACTACCCCCTGCTCTGCAGCCTCCTACCTACAAATTCACAAGCAAAATAACTGTTACTTTAAGAGACCAAGTTTGTCATACAGCTGGAGATCGCTTGAACACCCACCTCTTAGGGTTATGAAAATGTGTGATTCGTGAAAAGCGCCTGGCACACAGTAAGCACTTTGTAGTACTGTTTTCCCAACACCTCCACCATTCTGGTGCATTCAGTCTTGTTCCATTGCACCAATGCAGTTAACACATTCTTGCACCTGGTTTAACCGGGTTAATCATTTTACATAGAACTGACTGGGCATCTCTTATATGCCTAACTTAGGCTTCACAAGAGGCAACAAAAGACACTGGCCTGACCACTGATGAGTTTGTGTTTTATTCACTCAGATACTTTCAAAGGGGTATGAATTTCTGCAGAGTTTTTGAAGACCTATAGAGTGACAGAAGTACAGTGTTCACCAGGGTGTGACTTAAATGGCTAACTTGGGATAATAGATTCTACCAGATAAACTAGTTTTTAAATCACAACTTGTTTATACTATTTTTCTTAAACCAGCTCTCCAATAAGATAAAATAAATTAAACATACATGTAACAGTCTTTGAATAATGCCTGTTGATGGTATGTTAACATTTGCTAGACTATAGCCTAGGCGTATGAATTAAACTTCATGGAGCACATTTGCATATCATAGATTCTTTTAGACTTACATGTGTTTCCATCTAGTCCTTTTAGCAACTGTTTATGGTACTATTTCTGTTCCCATACAATGGAAAAGAACAGGAGCCTAGAGAACTGCCCACAGGGTAGAGTTGAATCAAGACTGAAATCTAGGATGTCTGATTGCATAACAGGACCCTCAAAAAGTTACCTAGCTTCAGGGGGCAAGATAGAACTGGTTCTCAGCTTTGGCTGCACAAAAGACTAAAAGAATTGCAGAATTTCCCTAAACTACAGGCAGAGCACTCTAAGTTCCCAAGAACTCTCACACAATAGTGAGGTCTGCATCTAACAGAGGCAGCTCAAGGAAACCATAGAATGGAATAAGGGTGAGTTGTCAGGCAAAGGTTGGAATGAGACCATTGCAAAAAGCTGAATTGGAAAAGTTATCCAGCTTTTTGAGATGCCACAGAAGTGAGTTTCCAGTTGCTCACAAGGTTCAGTTAGAATACTTAGCTAAGATGTAGAGGAGCTGTAACCCTAAGAGGGTAGAACAACACTTGTAAGTTTCCACCTGCCTTCTGCTGGACTGCAAGAAATGAAGACTATAGTGCTCAACTCCAGGCTCCAACCAGCCCTCCTTTGGTTCCTATCCAAATTTAGAGACCTGAAAGTAGGATATAACTTCTCTAGGTTGGGAACCATGTTTCCTGAAAGAACTAGGGCTCCAGCTTGTTCAGATGTGATTGCTGCAACATGGGGAGATATATAAGACATTTCACGTGGCCTCCTCCCCACCCCTTCACACATGGCCAGGGCTCACATGTACCATGGCACGCTGCAGTGACTCCATGTCTCCTAAGAATCAGGCCACATCCATTATCCATCACCAGCTGTGACAGCTAACCCAGCAGTGTCAAGTGTCTTCCAGGCCAGACAGAAACCCAACCAAGGCTGCAGCAATCAGTTACCTGGCTGAGCATCTACACACCTGGGCAATTTTGCACAAAAGCCTCTGCAAACCTATTTCTCCCTAACCCAAGGACGAGTATTACTTAAGCTACAGTCCAAAGGACAACTCAACAGACTGCCCAAAGTGACTGCAAAGCAATTTGAGTTTCATTCTTTTGTTTTTGCCATTAAAACTGGAAAATCATTTCTTCCTTGCTCAGATGATATTTGATTAATTCATTGAGGGTTTGAGCTGCACATGACACTATTTAATAATATCTAAAAAACATTTCATAAATTCTGTACACAGTTTTATCCTTCGTGTGTTATGAGTCTAAAGAGTCAAATTCTCTCTCAGATGAGAAAGACTCAAAAGACAACCAGATATATGTTTTCCACTGGCCTTTGAAGGAACCCAGACATTTTTAGAGAAAGGTGTGCAGAAACAGAACCATTAAGGTACTAACATTATAAAATGTTGTCACAACAAAATGTTTTTCTGCTTAGTGCGTATGGCATACCAATTTCTTCCTTTTAAGAGTGCTCACAAAGGCTCATGGCTTAGATAACTTCTCTTGAATCCCCCCCATTCAGTAAGTCCAGTGCAGTAACCCAATGCATATATTTTTATGATCCCTTATGTGGCTATGATGAAAATTAATCCTGTGTTAGGCATTCCAGACTAAAAGACAAAAAATATACATCAGCCCTCAAAGACACTTTCTTTAAAAAATATAGTTCTAATACAATAAATACTCTAATAGAAACCCTCAGGGTCTTATGGATTGGTTCTTTTGCCTAAATACAGCTGTAATTAATAGCTTATAGTCAGTTAAGCCCTGTAAGAAAGATCTATTGACACACCCAAGGAGCCCTGGAGACTGTAGGTCCTATACCAGCAGCATGGTAGTCTCCATTCAAGTATGGCTGGGATGCCTTCTTTAGCCAGATACCAAGGTTCCTGTGTGCCTGTGAAACATTCATAGGTGAGAGGTTTTGCAGCACTGATGCCCCGGTGCACCATATTCTGGCACAGCTCACCCCTAGTGCAGAGCTGACTTAGTGTTTTGGGGGTAACTCCTGAAAATACACAGTGAGCAGAGGCAACTGTGATTTGGTCCATTTCTGGTCTGGACCATTTAACCACCTTGTACTTTTTCCTCTCTTCCCAGAGAATTTTTAAAAATTTATATTTTTTCAGATTTTTTAATATAAAAATTTGCTTTTGTGTGTACATATATATGAAATAATTTGTGGGTGTGGGTGT